CAAACCGAGTGCACAGATGATACCAAATAGCGGGTCCTGAAGAGGCTGGAGAAATGGGCTGATGGTAACCTCATGACGATCAATTAAGACAAAGGCAAAGCCCTACAGCTGGGACAGAATAAAAATAATAATAATCTGTCATTAAAAAATCAAAAGGCAAAATACTTCCTTGGGTATTAGCGTCATGATTTGTTTTTTCAAAGCTGCTTGACATTTACATTATGCTGCAGAATATTCCTTTTTTCTGAATGATAATTTTTCCTATGAATGCATAGAACAGCGATGGATGTTTGCAGTCACACAGAACTAAGGAAAGAGAAACTGAATACAAGTCTTACTAGCAAATGAAGCAGAGCTCCAAGGTGCTCATACTGTCATGTGTGTTAGCAGAGTCTGGGTAAGTGCAGTGTTGATTTTAGGCAGAGACAGAAACTGCGGAGGGAACAGGATGAAAGACGTGTTTGCACTTCATCAAGTTCCTTTTCCTCTCTGCTGCTTGTAGAAGAGTGACACTCGGGAAAGCAGCAGTCTTTGGGTTTGGCGTATTTTGGTGCTCCTACTCCTTCCAGACCTGGGATCAAACTATCTGGGGGAGGGAGAGGATGGAGAGGCAAAGGGGAGGAGGGCAGTACATACCTGCAGGACCGAGTGACGCTCATTCTCCAGGGCCAAAGCAAGGGTTGGTTTTGGTTTGGCAGCAAGCAGTGCAAGCCGTGCCTGTCCCACCAGCATCCCCTTGCATGCTGAAGGAACTTCCTTTCTTCTTCCATGATGAGCACGAGCACACCTGCTAGCACTGGGAATAACTGTGTATCAAGATACTTAGAAAAACCACGGGCTGCAAGAATCTTAAATGGGTAGGAAAATGCAATCTAAAGCCTTTAGCAGTGCAGAGAGTTCTGATACGCATCCTCCCAGAAGCAATTAGAGACCACGCTGCAAACATCCAGCATGGATTTAAACAAGGTAAATCCTGCCTGGCCAACCTGTTTGTGTCCTGCGATGAGATTACCAGCTTTATGGCAAAGGGGAGAGGATCGGGCATGGTGTACCTTGACCTGGCAAGCTCTTTGCTCCAGTCTGCTGTAGTATGCTTACAGCCAGACTGGTGAGACAGGAACTGGACAGGTGGG